TCCAGTATGGTCAGATGACGCCGTTCAATGGCATTACGTCCGGAAGGCAATATGGCTTTTAGACGAAAATCGACCGTAAAAATCGCTCGTGTGATTGTTTAAAATATTTATCGTAAGCGTTTGAGAGACGCTTGTCTTCATGCTATATGTCGATACTGGAAACGTGAGTAATTATACTGAGACCACAGCGCCTGTATGAAATGATCTGGAGGACTGAGGCGGACAAGATCTTTGGGAGACACTGGATGTTGACTTCTGATATATACTGTCGCGTTGCAACTTGAATATATACTAGTATTAAAAGATATAAAAGGACAAGGATAAATGGGGGTTTCATTTTGACCTGGCATACCCTTAAATATCTAGAGTTTGGTTGATAATGCGTGAGCGAGTAATGGATTTTTTTACATTTTTTGTTGTTGCAATAATACAATATCATTAAAATCAGATCTTATACTCCGATACGCCCCCTATATTCGTGAAGATCTGAGGAAATTTCTAAGGAGGTCGCGCCAGATAAACGTTCTAGCGTCGAGGCTTTTATATTTGATTTCTGGATCTCGAAATCAAAGTTAATCGGCCTGTTCAAAATGAAAATGATAAAGACTGTGTCATTATATTGTTGTGGATATTTTATACACGCTGTCGTTTCTGAAAGCCATGGCCTGTACACCCAATAGAGAGTACCATCGATGGAATATTTGACGTCTAGGGCGGTTTTTTGTTGTTGTTAAATTGAAATTTCCGAATATAGGACATAAAGAAAATGAGCCCCATCGCTCCAGAAAGCTGACGTCTGATTTGCTTACGAACCCAGGCATCCTTCAAAGCTCCGGGTGTTCTCAGATCTTCACGTAGAGGGGCAATAATTCAATCACACCATGGTAAGAATGGGCTTCAGTCCCGCGAAGAGCCGGGGTTGAATAGTTCTTCAGCAACCCATTCTTGCCGTAAAAGGCGTCTATGCTTGTCGTAAGAGGCGACTAACGGGATCAGGTGGTCAGGCTCTCTGACTTAGGTGATGCATGTCATCGTATCCCAACTGCGTGGATCGATGTTCATGATGTCAGTCACTGGATTGTCTGGTCCAGACTCGATTATTTACGGACATATAGCTGGAATATTGCTGAGTGCGGCGTTAAACATCAAACAAACAAAAAGAAGAAGAAAAACGAATGGGCTTTATGGAGAAACGAACACGGGCATACGGCGTATATAGACACCCCTTTACAACCCCACAATGACACTTTGTTGTTTAGCGCCACGTCTGGCAATATAACGCTATATATGACGATGATCTGTAAATAATCGAGTAGCTGTTACCAGATCATAAATACACTTCTGTGACGTCATTCTATTGTTTGAACATTCCATTATTTTTTTTCAGGAATGGACAGTTGGTTGTCAGTTATTCGTTAACTGGAACCAACATTTCAATTAATTTACACTTCAGAAAGACGGAGATGGGTTTTTTTCACATTCAAGTGAATCATTTCAGGTTTGGTCGGAAAACATAATGTCGTTGTCGATGACGCCACAAGCATTCAGACCAAGGCTATATCGCTTGATCTCACCCTAGTGATATCTCCCGTGGAAGACAGTTTTGGATGATAAATACTATATCATGCCCCTAAAGTGCATTTGTTTACATTGAATACAAGATAACGCACGTCTCTAACTTGTACCTATATATATATATAGAATCTCACAGAGTGAAATTAAATATATCAATACAAGTTGATAAAAGTTTAGAACTTGTTTGACGAGTGTCGATATATTTGATATAAAAATATCACATATTCCAACTATTCAAATCATGTGTGTGTAAATAGAATACTAAACGAGCTCCCGTGTAACTAGCTTCATAAAATTGGCATTACACGGGAGCGAACTTAGTATTATATGTATTACTTGCCATTAATGGCTTTTTTAGAATTTCACTGTCGTGTGTGAATAGGCAGACATCTACGCGATCCACAGCATAATCCAATTGAGTTAAACAGAATAATACTTCAAACACGTCAAAAGTAACGTCATAAGCTCCTCTCAGTATATTTGATAACGGTTTTAGAACCTACACCGAAACGTCGCTCTTAATTGTAATAAAGAGGTTGTTCATCCATAAATTCTTATCCTTACTTAGTACTCCAACTTCTCAACGCCTATCAAAGAAGTTACTCCTCTCAGTGATCTATCTGTCGTTGAATAGGCCAAGGGATGTTGAGAGTTTTCAATTTTTGTTCGAGAAATTTGTTCCCGCAGTACATGTGCACGCGCTTTGGTACTAAACGAAATAATAAATAATAAACACATTACGCGGTCATTATTCAGAAGGAAATATCATAATGTTAAATGAATATATTACCAAGTGTATTTAAGCTTTGAACTGCAAGGTGTACATGTTGAAAATCAACACGATGCATATGGTATATTTTACGAGTGCTTCGTTGTGTTGGTGTTGCGCTCGAGTTTGCATGATTAGAAAACACATTCCGACTGTCAGTTTCATGATCTGGTAAGCGACGCTTTGATTGGTCGGATGAAAGATCGTTCTGACTTGACCCGTGATGGGACGTCCTCAGATCTTTGTTTAGCGATAGCGAGAACTAATATCTGATTTTAATGAGATTGTGTTGCGCTAGGTTTCACGCTCAGCTAAATACGGAACTCGGGATTACATATATGGTCTAAATAAAATACAGCAAATATATCAATTTTCGTTGTCAGTATGTGATTGAGTTTGGGTTTGCGCAGCTTTTAGCGATATTACCGTTATATCATGGCGGAGAACACCGGAAATGGGCTTTACAACGTAAACGCTATGAGCAATAGAACCCAGGCTTTCAGCGAAATGAGGCAACGTTGTAACCACTGGGCTACTTAATCATCCCTTTTCGTACAATTTGTGTTATCTCACCTTACATTAAAATACTAGCTTCTGATTGGTTAAGGAGCGGGAAATTATCTTCCATTGTTTGAGAAATCAATCGGAAAACACCTTAGGTAACTTGCCTATCTCGCATTAGTGTATAGTATCCGAATGCATTGGGTAAAGGGAAGCAACTCGGTTCGTTTTCGTCGTCTGCTAGCTGTCAAAATAGCTGAATGAAAGCGCTTTACTCGGTGAAGCATCGGACATAATTATATTCCGGGTTTGTATGAATGAATATCAGTAATAAATGACGGCTCGGTTACGCCCACACACCATGTACACCTCGAGATCGGTTTATAACTTATACTATACAGAACATATGCATGAATTCAGTTTTTAAGGAAATTAAAACTCATGATTGAGCTTCGTTGATGGTGTCACGATCACAATTTTTGAAACTCCTCTCTTAAAATACTTTGACCACCAGATTTGGTGTTTTCACCACAGGTGAAAATATTTAATTGTCACTTCAGAGTATAAAGACTGTCTGTGCACCTGAAAGACGGTTATTGGCATTGTTCCATTGTATCATATATGGCCGGACCCGCAAGGATCCCGGTCAGAAGAGATCTTCAGCAACCCATGCTTGCAAGGCGGCTATGCTTGTCGAAGGAGGCGACTAACGGGATCGGGTGCTCAGGCTCGCCGACTTGGTTCATGCATGTCATCGTATCCCAATTGCCTGGATCGATGCTCATGATGTCAATCACTGGATTGTCTGGTCCAGACTCGATTATTTACATATCTCTGTCATACAGCTGGAATAGTGCTGAGTGCGGCGTTAAACAACAAACAAATATACATGGAAGTGTATTAATAACTTTATCTCCCAATGTTGTATATGCTATTTGCAACTAAATGCTGGAGGGGCGGTCGGGTAGCCTAGTGGTTAAAGCGTTCGCTCGTCACGCCGAAGACCAAGGTTCGATTCCCGACATGGGTACAATGTGTGAAGCCCATTTCTGGTGTCCCCCGCCGTGATTTTGCTGGAATATTGCTAAAAGCGGCGTAAAATCAAACCCACTCACACTAAATGCTGGATAAGAATGGGCCTACATGTATAATGCATGTACTTAAAAAAAATAAACAATGATTGGTATTAAGTAGGGCTATGATTGAATGTGTCTATGCTGAAGAGTTATATGTTTCTTTGCCTTCTATATATGGAAACAATGTGTCTCTTTAAGCTAACATCTTAAGATGTCTCTCTGTCGTTAATCTTTCCATTTATCTAAAACATTGCACACTGCTACTTGACATGTACTATATATATATATATATATATATATATATATATATATATATATATATATATATATATATATATATATATATTTATATATATACTTCACTTCTGGACTCGCCAGTACCCTGCCTGAAAGATTTATTTGGAGATTCAGACAGGTATATATTTCTTGGCCATCCACGCAGCTAACCCATTCAGTTTGTTTGTTAATTTGTTGTTTAACGCCGCAATGAGCAATATTCCAGCTATATGGTGGAGGTCTGTAAAATAATGGAGTCTGGACAATACAATCCAGTGGTCGATATCATGAGCATCGGTCTACGCAGTTGGGATACGATAACATGCACCAACCAAGTCAGCGAGCCTGACCCTCCGATCCCGTCAGTCGCCTTTTACACAAGCTTAGTTGCATTTTACGGCAAGCATGGGTTGCTGAAGACCTATTCTACCCCGTATCTTCACGGGTACAGCACATTTAAAAATCCTAAACTGAGTAACACTTAGAATTTGGCTGATCAAAGAGAAGTAAGTACGAAATTAAGTTTTAATGCAGATATTTAACACGAATAAATTCACTTATAAATAGGCGCAATAATGGCAATTTTTACATACCTCTGTCATATATGTTCATAGCCCATTGAATGCTCTTTTATGTCATGACCTGTGCAATGATAGCACATTTGGCGGCCAAATGATACGTACATGTCAAACTATGGTCAAATGGGCCTCGGAAGACACGTTGATTTCCTAACATGCATAAGTTTGGGAAACACCATCCTTTCGTGTGGTGGTGGAACCAGCTGCGTCGTGTTCTAATTTTAGATCAAAATGGCTGCCTCCACTGATTCCAGGAAGGACCGTAGGTATCCTCCTTATCATTTTGAAAATATTCAGTAACTAGATTGTGTTCACAATTAGATTACTAGTTATTGATTGCTTTTTTGTTTAGTTGTTGCTTCACACACTCTTTTGCGAATGAATCACGTGTATAATAACAACAACGTCATTAAAACCACATCCGATTTTAATTACATTGATTTCATAATATGATGGAGATTATATGTAACAGTGTATGGTTAAGAATGTAATAATCTCTTTATCATCCATATTATCATCCATCCGTGAAGGTCCGGGTTAGAATAGCAACCCGTGTTTGTCGTAAGCGGCGACAAATTCCCGTGTAATGCCGTCGCCGGAGGTCGCAGATGTCGAATGAAGCAGGATCTGAGACGATCAGGAGGCTGTCTGCGACGAAATAGTATCCCACAATATATGGCGCCATGACTATGGTAGGGGCTAAACTAAACCTTCTGATCGGCTAAAAAGTGTGTTAAACCATAAATCCCAAATTGAGCCCTCGGACTCGAATGGGAGTAATTGAACAGTAGGCCTATTTAGGGAGCATCCATTTGATTTGTATGTTTGTTTGTTGTTTAACAACACTATAACAACACAATATTCAAGCTGTATGACGGCGGTCTGTAAATAATCGAGTGTGGACCAGACAATCCACTGATTGACATCATGAACATCGATCCACGCAATTGGGATACGATGACATGCATCAACCAAGCCAGCGAGCCTGAGCACCCGATCCCGTTAGTCGCCTTTTACGGCAAGCATGGGTTGCTGAAGACCTATTCTACCTCGGATCTTCACGGTGCTTGATTTGTAAGAGGTGGGTGGGAATGTTTGGAGAACAATCAATTTTTTCCCCAGCTACATTCAACAAACTATTAATTTACTGAGCACCATAAAAAATATATATATAATTCATTTTCACTTTTAACACAAAAATATATGTGACGTTTGGGTATTTTCTACAAAACAAACTATTCATTTTCCCCACTGCAAAAAAACTGTAACTTTTTTTTTTGTGTGGCAAGTTTCAGAACAAACTAGTCATTTAAAAATTTCCGCAAGAAAGACAGAGCTTTACGGTGCTAGTTTCAAAATGGCGATTTTCATTCCAGACAACGCTTTGAAAAATATAATGAAAAAGTACTAGATTCAAAGTTTTTAAATTGAACGAAAGAAAATTCTTTGAAATGTCTTTTCGACCTATAAAATTCTCATTTCAAAAGTTTATCCCATTGGAGCAATGAATATCGTTCGGAATGCCCCGTGTTATCATTTCCGAGGTTGCACTATTGGAAAGCACATTCGTACTTTCACTTTCGCGATCTGGTTGATCGAAAGAAATGTTTGTCGCCACACTCGGCAATATCCCAGCTATATAATGGCGGTCTGTAAATAATCGAGCCTGGACGAGACAATCAAGTGATTGACATCATGAGCATCGATCTACGCAATTGGGATACGATGACATGCATCAACCAAGTCAGCGAGCCTGACCACCGGATCCCGCTAGTCTTCTCTTGCAACAAGCATAATCGCCTGTTTATATTATTGAGAAGTATGTGCAGTATTTAAGGTCACTTTTGTTTTGTGTGAATATTTTTTACTCTGCTGCGACCTTCGCCTTCACGTGCCAATGTATATTCCTGACCTCCCAGGTACTTTCTTTCTTTCTTCGTTGTTTAACGCCGCACTTAGCAATAAAAAAGTTATATGACGGCTGTCTGAAAATAATTGAGTCTGAACCAGACAATCCAGTGATCGACATCATGAGCATCGATCCACGTAATTGGGATACAATGACATCTATCATCCAGGTCAGCGAGCCTTTAACGGCAAAGGTACATACAATACCCCTTTAAACCGCATACATTATTTAGCAGAGCCTAGCTGTAAGGGCGACTTCCGTACGTATTTGCTCAAATTTGACCTCTCTCCTCTCAATAGGTTTAGGGGCGGCCTAGTGGTTAAAGCGTTGGCTCGTCACGCCGAAGACCCGGGTTCGATTCCAGACATGGGATCAATGTGTAAAGCCCATTTCTGGTGTCCCCCGCCGTGATATTGCTGGAATATTGCTAAAAGCGGCGTAAAACCATACTCACTCACTCACTCAATATGATTGGATGACATTAAGCGTGAAGAAGAAACCTGTAATTTAATAACAACTTGTTACAGTGACTTTCCATTTATAAAATCACATTTGCGTGCAATTTGAAAATGTACTAAAGGTCGAGGTTATTAGACCAGAAGTGCAAATTGTTTGTTTAGGGAGCTAGTGGCATTGGACCTATTTAAAACAAAATCCAAAAAGCAGAAGGGGTGTCATTCAAGTGGAAAGCCGCATAACCTTGTTATTAATTAAATCACAAGACAATTATAATGAAATCATTAGTTTGGTTTCAGTACAAGGTTTAACAGTTTATGTTTCAGAAATTGGATCATTCCAAAATTAAGTAAATCGGTTCGCACGTTGTTGTCCTTCGTACACAATGGACACGACGCCTCTGCTGTCAGAACCTGATGATGGGTCCATGCAAGGGTCCCCATATCATCTTCCACAGCCTCTTCGGGGCCCATCCCTGGATGAATTAGCTGGATGTGGTGTTGAGGTTAGAAACCCTGGTGACGACATCACAGCGACGGGCATCGACTTCAGGAACGTCACGTCTCTCAGTACGAATGTCCTGCTCGACAGGTTAAAGGAACACGAAGGGGAACAAGACCCAACTATGAGAAAAGTCGTTTGTTCATCTAATCTGACGAATGATGATGCAGTTGCAGTGGACATGACACGACGTAGCCCCATTCATTCAACACCGACTTACAGTGATCAGACTCGCAGTGACCATAGCGCCTTATCTGCTCACCCTCGCCACAATGGCAACCACACCTATACGAGTGTGGCAGACAGTCGCTCGGGGTCTGTTCCTCCTCTTACAAAAGGTAAAAAGGACCACATATTTGCCGTTGTTCTTGCATACATGTCATAGGCATTTGTGTGGACAACATTTTTTACAATGCGTTTTGATAAATTAACTCAACAAAAACCATTTCCATAATCATAGAAATCTCTTCCAAAAGCAGAGTTCATTGTACGATTCCGATAACATCATAAGCATGTGTTTATGATTAACTATCAAATGGCGATGGTACCGCAGGTGTTCTTGAAAAGGGGAACGTATATCATGCCTAAAAGTTGGTACCCGAAACAAACACATGCAAGGGCAAGTCAATTGTTCACCTGAAAAATCAGGGAAACAAAATAGGGAATTACATACGGCATCATATTTGTCACTGATGCGTCAAATTTGAAAAGGTGCTCCACATGTCTATACCATAATATGTTTTGAAAACTTTACAGAATCATTGTATGTTGTAACAACGCGATTTTGACTAGCAATAATAACCAAGGGTTGCATGCTACAGTCCCTGTGAGATTAATTTGCTAAGTAACTTCCATATGTAACTTGGATGTATACACTTGTACAAACAAACAAACAAAATATATCGTCAATGAGAAAGGGTTTACATCACATATCTTAATTAATTTTCTTTCAAGATTTGGTAGATGGGGGTACCGGAGTTGTGTCGCTTAGCCATGTTAAAAAAACCTATGATCGTGGGTTCGAATCCCATATTCGACCCGATTTCTACGTTTGTCAGCACCATACACCAGCTGGAATATTGCTAAGAGCGGCGTTAAGAAACAAACTTACTGTCACCACCAAAGTGGTTAACGTCTACGTCCTGCCATCTTCCCGAGGCAAGAGAGTTAACTGACTTTAAAAGTCCAGTTTTCCACCCTTGCCGAACTAGGCTGGAATTACTGGGCTCGATCGTAGCGCCACCAGTGGCTATTACCAGTTATGTACCTTCTAAGCCTCTCCTATGGACCAATCAGATTCCACTTCACGTGTCACTTGTGTTTGCTTCGCACAAAATGGTGGCGCCTAGTCAGGACGATCTGATCGATAATCAAGATCTATATTGTGATAAAACGGGTCTTACATTGCGAAATGCATCAAATCACGTGAGCACCTTGATTAAAAACATGAAAAGATTTGGAAAATATCTGCTGACAGCGAGTTGGCGGTGCACATGCTTTGCAAATCTGCAATCGACCGAAATCTGCACGACAGTTTACGAACCGGATTTCGAATTCGGTGCGCGATTTTGATTGGACTATGCATAGACTCGTTAGCCCAGCCAAAATGTAACTCCATAATACCAGCCTAGTTCGGCAAGGGTGGAAACTGGACTTTTAAAGTCAGTTAACTCTCTTGCCTCGGGAAGATGAAGTCCTGCATGACCGCGGGGTCTCCTCCCACGTTAAGCTGACGCCGTGATATAACTGAAATACTGCTCGATGCGGCGTCAGACCCAACTAACTGATCACTCTTTTCAAACTGACCACATCACTAACTTCACAGGCTCAAGAGACGTGACCACCCGGCCTCGATGTGGTGAAATGATACACTCGTATGAATCTGCACACCCTGTTGCGATCACAGTAGAAGCCATTTCACCACCATGTACGAACGTTGCCCCTCCGCTCTCAGAAGGAAAGAAGTACCACGTCTTCTTTTCCTATGAAATCACCGACAGGGAGTGGGTGGAGGAGGTAACCAAACAGCTAGAGTCGCCAGAGCTCGGCTTCAAGTGCAGCATGCACGAGAGAGACTTTCATGGCGGCAAGCGCATCATTGAAAACATCACTGAACACATCCGACTGTCTGAGAAGACGGTGTTAGTGCTGTCTCCAGACTTCATCCAGAGCCACTGGTGCATGTTTGAGATAGAGATGGGGATGATCCTGAGCATGGAGGAGAGTCAGCTTCTGGTGGTGCCAGTCATGGTGGAGCAGTGCCGTGTTCCTGACAGTATCAAGACTCTCACCTACATCGACGCAACTCCCGGCCATGAGTGGTGGCAGCGTTTCATTGACGCCATAGTTTCTAAAGGTGAGTGTACTTATTCTATAACACTACGCTCCCTGGTTGATTATGAAGGAACTTATTGATCTGAATGATTAAACTCCACTCATCTTTCCGATACTACAATACCTATTTATATCGAATTATTAATTACACATTTGTTTATGTCAACATCGGCTCACATAATAAGGAAAGCAGATTCATATGACAACAAACTTAATTCTCACAGTTGAAATCATTTCAACATATATATACGAAAGAGTTTTGTCGGTTCAGAACACTGAAATAATATTCTGCCGGGGAAAATAAAGTATACTTGAAACTTGGATTTGACCAAAAAATTACAAACGTTTTTAAAACACTGCGAATAGGTCCAAAACACAACTATGATACCCTTATCAAATACGTCACCATCGAATAACCATTTCTTGTGTGTTTAATATTGAGCCACCATCAAGCATGGGTTTATACTTTCTTTTGCCCGGCCGTTTAGTTTTCAAGAAATATGTCGCGATATTACTTGAACTTACTTATTTAAACAAAAATGGAACCATACGATTTCAGATGACCTTCTCGGTAATCTAACGGGTACAAAGGATCTAAGAATCGAACCCCGACACGGTGAGACTGGTATCACGTGAATTGCGCCGCCAAGCTGTTCCCGCCATGTCAGATGGTTCCTTACTGTCTGCGTATCAGTGAATAACAATGTTGATATAATGTTTATTATGCATAAAACAACATTAACTTGGTAAAAAATAGAAATAAATACATTCGAGTATGTGAACGTATTGTGCAGTTTCCAATTTAAAGAAAGAATTCAAAGAATGTAAGGTAATGTTGATGCTGACGGTACGAGTCTTAAAAACACAAACAGTAACACATTGCAAGATCACAATACAACTTGCTACTTTATACTCATGTGCATGATTGTATTCCCGTCTTAAGGAAACATGGATTTGTTGACGGAACTATCTTCCGACTACAAGTGTCTCTTTGGAGAACAAATGAGGGTCCCTTATATACCTGAGACGTTACTGAGGCCGGGTATCGAGGTATGTTTTTAATACATTTTTCAGGTAGCTACGTGTGTGTTTGTTACTAATACCAGATAGCCAGGTATGATTGTTACTGATGCCAGATAGCCAGGTATGATTGTTACTGATACCAGATAGCCAGGTATGATTGTTACTGATACCAGATAGCCAGGTATGATTGTTACTGATACCAGATAGCCTGGTATGATTGTTACTGATACCAGATAGCCTGGTATGATTGTTCCTGATACCAGATAGCCAGGTATGTTTGTTACTGATACCAGATAGCCAGGTATGATTGTTACTGATACCAGATAGCCTGGTATGATTGTTACTGATACCAGATAGCCCGGTATGATTGTTACTGATACCAGATAGCCTGGTATGATTGTTACTGATACCAGATAGCCAGGTATGATTGTTACTGATACCAGATAGCCAGGTATGATTGTTACTCATACCAGATAGCCAGGTATTATTGTTACTGATACCAGATAGCCCAGTATGATTGTTACTCATACCAGATAGCCAGGTATGATTGTTACTGATACCAGATAGCCAAGTATGATTGTTACTGATACCAGATAGCCCGGTATGATTGTTACTGATACCAGATAGCCAGGTGTGTTTGTTACTGATACCAGATAGCCCGGTATGATTGTTACTGATACCAGATAGCCAGGTATGATTGTTACTGATACCAGATAGCCTGGTATGATTGTTACTGATACCAGATAGCCCGGTAAGATTGTTACTGATGCCAGATAGCCAGGTATGATTGTTACTGATACCAGATAGCCAGGTGTGTATGTTACTGATACCAGATAGCCAGGTATGATTGTTACTGATACCAGATAGCCCGGTGTGTTTGTTACTGATACCAGATAGCCCGGTATGATTGTTACTGATACCAGATAGCCTGGTATGATTGTTACTGATGCCAGATAGCCCGGTATGATTGTTACTGATGCCAGATAGCCTGGTGTGTTTGTTACTGATACTAGATAGCCAGGTATGATTGTTACTGATGCCAGATAGCCAGGTATGATTGTTACTGATACCAGATAGCCTGGTATGATTGTTACTGATGCCAGATAGCCCGGTATGATTGTTACTGATACCAGATAGCCAGGTATGATTGTTACTGATACCAGATAGCCCGGTATGAGTGTTACTGATGCCAGATAGCCAGGTATGATTGTTACTGATACCAGATAGCCCGGTGTGTTTGTTACTGATACTAGATAGCCAGGTATGATTGTTACTGATACCAGATAGCCCGGTATGATTGTTACTGATACCAGATAGCCAGGTATGATTGTTACTGATACCAGATAGCCAGGTATGAATGTTACTGATACCAGATAGCCAGGTATGATTGTTACTGATACCAGATAGCCTGGTATGATTGTTACTGATGCCAGATAGCCAGGTATGATTGTTACTGATACCAGATAGCCTGGTATGATTGTTACTGATGCCAGATAGCCAGGTATGATTGTTACTGATACCAGATAGCCAGGTATGAGTGTTACTGATACCAGATAGCCAGGTATGATTGTTACTGATGCCAGATAGCCAGGTATGATTGTTACTGATACCAGATAGCCCGGTATGAGTGTTACTGATACCAGATAGCCTGGTATGATTGTTACTGATACCAGATAGCCAGGTATGATTGTTACTGATACCAGATAGCCTGGTATGATTGTTACTGATACCAGATAACCAGGTATGATTGTTACTGATACCAGATAGCCAGGTATTATTGTTACTGATACCAGATAGCCAGGTGTGTTTGTTACTGATACCAGATAGCCAGGTATGATTGTTACTGATACCAGATAGCCAGGTATGATTGTTACTGATGCCAGATAGCCCGGTATGATTGTTACTGATGCCAGACAGCCCGGTATGATTGTTACTGATACCAGATAGCCCGGTGTGTTTGTTACTGATACCAGATAGCCAGGTATGATTGTTACTGATACCAGATAGCCAGGTGTGTTTGTTACTGATACCAGATAGCCAGGTATGAATGTTACTGATACCAGATAGCCAGGTATGATTGTTACTGATGCCAGATAGCCTGGTATGATTGTTACTGATGCCAGATAGCCAGGTATGATTGTTACTGATACCAGATAGCCAGGTATGATTGTTACTGATACCAGATAGCCAGGTATGAGTGTTACTGATACCAGATAGCCAGGTATGATTGTTACTGATGCCAGATAGCCAGGTGTGTTTGATACTGATACCAGATAGCCAGGTATGATTGTTACTGATACCAGATAGCCAGGTATGATTGTTACTGATACCAGATAGCCAGGTGTGTTTGATACTGATACCAGATAGCCAGGTATGATTGTTACTGATGCCAGATAGCCAGGTATGATTGTTACTGATACCAGATAGCCCGGTGTTTTGTTTGGAACTGAGATCGAGTATCCAAGTGCGTGTTTGGTACTGAGATCGAGTATCAAGTGTTTGTTTGGTACTGAGATCGAGTATCCGGGTGTGTGTTTGGAACTGAGATCGAGTATCCAAGTGTTTGTTTGGTACTGAGATCGAGTATCCAAGTGTTTGTTTGGTGCTGAGATCGAGTATCCAGGTGTTTGTTTGGTACTGAGATCGAGTATCCAGGTGTGTGTTTGGAACTGAGATCGAGTATCCAGGTGTGTGTTTGGAACTGAGATCGAGTATCCAAGTGTTTGTTTGGTACTGAGATCAAGTATCCAAGTGTTTGTTTGGTACTGAGATCGAGTATCCAAGTGTTTGTTTGGAACTGAGATCGAGTATCCAAGTGTTTGTTTGGTACTGAGATCGAGTATCCAAGTGTTTGTTTGGTACTGAGATCGAGTATCCAGGTGCTTGTTTGGTACTGAGATCGAGTATCCAGGTGTGTGTTTGGTACTGTGATCGGGTATCCAGGCATGTGTTTGTTACTTCGAAACAAATTCAGCTCCATTGCTTTAATGTTGTTATTCCGAACCATACTAATATATTCTGAAATACCACTGGGTCAGCCAGTCGACAAAATGATTTGTGGAGCTAACTTAAGGCTTTAATCAAATTGTATGCGAAACAGTAGATACAGATTATGCACGTAGGACTATTAAGAAGAAATACCAGTTCAATCAAATGAAAACCTCACAATATCTTGACAGTCACTTCATTCATGAATATGTCCATTCACATATGCCTCCTCTTGTTGGGGGCCGAGGGTGACCCAGTCGTCTAAGGCGCCGCGATTCGCTGTGCAGAGTTGCGTCCCTTGGGCACGCCAGAAACCTATGGTTGTGGGTTCGAATCCCGGTTCGACCCGATTATGTTTCTAGGTTTGTCAGTACCATACCCGTGCTCGTGGGTTTCACCGAAGTGGTTAACGTGAGACCTGCATCACTTCGGGCTTTCCTCCCACATTAAGCTGACACGCCGTCATATGTCTTGAATATTGTTACAGCTGCGTTAAACATGTTAAACCCAACTCACTCACCCACTCCTCTTGTTGCCTGCGCAGGTTCCAACTGATGAGTTTCAGCGGGCGATGGACATCATTCGTTCTGCATCGTGCTTCTGTCGACTGTTTTGTGACCTCGGACCTTGCTGTGTGCCAGTCTTTGCGTGCCTACTCGTTTTAGGAATCATGTTCATTGTACTTTTCTTCGCAACAGGATACCAAACGCCTACGCTCTGTTGGTCTCTATCGCTGCCTTGGTCATCCATCGCTATAACATTTTATATTCAGAGAAGGATGGTAAGTACATTGACAGAAATGTAACTGATGTTTCTTGACGAGTATGTCTAACATTCCACACACTTTATTACGTTTAATTCGGCAATGATGTTTTGTCAATGTATCCTTTCGCATTTTGCATTTTACCAGACCCCTACCTGCCATGTTTGTGTGCGGTTACGGTATGGCTGCACGCGACAATGTTAGTACTTTTATAGTGTATTTATATAGGGCGATAAAACTCAATATAAGCAAAATATATTACCCAGTTTTCATTGGATTAAACCTCGACATTTTATATCAAAGTAATACATAAACACCTCAAATTAACATCATTGATTAACTTGACTAAGTATTTTAAATGAGCTCGTGCGCATTCCTTTCCAAAATTGCGGAAGGTGTCTGTGTTTTCTTGCCATGTTGCAAGCTATAGGTATTGGAGGCCAGTAGGCAGTGTGTTTCGGATCCTCATGGGTGCATCTTCCCGAGGCAGGAGTGTCCACTTGCCAATATCAAAGTCCAGTTCTCACCCTTGCAATTTCAAGCCTTTGCCCGATCGTGGCGCCACCTCATATAGAAGACGAGTTCTGTCCCTTGTGATGAAAACGCGATATCCAATCACATCGCTCTTCTTATTTTGAGTGGCTTCACAAAAACGTTCTGGTCGACCAGGCAACGAAATGATTCGAGATTTCATCCCTGATAGACACACACAATGATAGATTACCACAGTAAAATACTTAGTACTGCCTCATTTCGCTTATATAATAATATAGCTATACAAACTACACAGTATCAAGTAACACTGCACATCGCAGTGACATGAAACCATCAGCACGGGGTCGTCGAGAATTAGCCCTGCATCTCAGTCACTGCGATTGGGCTGGCACTCAAATACTAGTACATAAAGTAATTGGGCAAGTTGACTGAAATCTTTGAACCAATTCAAAAATAATTGTCTTCGCTTAATTTTGGGAAGATTTTCGGAGCAAATTCGACGGTCAATGGCTGAGGCCATAGCACCGCCCACGTTTCGGAATCCGGATCATTCGTCACCACTCGCCCCTTTCCGTAGCCTGCATTCGGCCATTCGTGACCAACTCGTGTTATTCCGGGACAGGTTACGGAAAGGGGCGAGTGGTGACGAATGGCATTCGGCTTGTCACGGGAAAAAATGAGTTGGTCACGATGAATCCGGATGTTGATTTTCTTTAAACATTCTCTGATTGGGCTATCGATATGTGCGACAGTCCTCTCATATTTTAGCACAGAAAATTAGGCTTGAAATGGCAAGGGTAGACTGATATAGGCTTGGCTCAGAAAGATGTCATTGGTGCAACAAATATGCAATCATCACATGTGCGTCGGAATCAATTCGTATGCCATGCTTATATATAAGTTATAATGTTAAAATTTAAACCCTTCGCAAAATATTACTAAAAGCAATTATTATGCAAGACCCTGGGGTGGTTAACATTGGGCTTGCAATTTCGTATGTATCCATTATTCATGATGTTTATTTATTCGCTAATTTTCATATGCATCTCCGAGGCCGGCGGGGTAGCCTAGTGGACTATACCGTTTGCTCAAGACAACAAAGCCCTCGTTCGATTCCCCGTTGGGGTAAAATATGTAAAGGCATTCTTTTTCATTTGACTGAAGTAATGCTAAGCGTGGTTTAGAACACCCCTCACACCCCCGCCCATAGGAATCGAATTTCGGCGACTCCATACAATCGCTCTTTATGAAGTCTGTTCTCAGCCAATATGAGCAACACTTGACCTGAGTATTATGAAAAAGTATAAATGATTATGACCTTCTGAATAATACCTGATTAATCTGTTTCCTTATTTCGCCTTCTCCAAAAATGGCCAAGCTGAAATATAAGTGTATTTTCCTATTGTTTTCGCTTCAGAGATGGTGCCTACTCCGCAAGGCAGTTGCTGAAGTCAACACGATATTTCTGAAGTACAATGTAATCGTGGGATTTAAGTTACAAGCGGGCGGCTGCATTCTCTCCCGGACCTTTGTCAGTACACATGACGTTATACACTTGTAAAATCAAAGATGTGACTCCTGTACATAAAATACAAAGTTTCATAAATGTCATCACACCCTTGGTGGCCCGTGAAGATCCGGAGTAGAATAGATCTTCAGCAACCCATGCGGTCGTAAGAGGCGACTAGCGATCGGGTGGTCACCGATGCTCATGATGTCAATCACTGGATTGTCTGGTCCAGACTCGATTATTTACAGACCGCCGTCATGTAGCTGAAATATTGCTGAGTGCGGCGTTAAACAACCAAACCAACAAACAAACAAACACCATTGGTATCTTGGAAGCACGCATGGCCCAGTCGTCTAAGTGACGTAATTCGCTCTACAGAGTTGTGTCCCATGGGTTCGAAACCCCGATTAGCTCTGATTGTGTTTTAAGGCGTGTAAGCACCATACGTGTGCTAGTTAGGTTCATAAAAGTGGTAAATATCTTTGACCTGCATCCAAGGCCGTAGTTTGTACAAGTATCACTTGTCCCCAACTTGACTCAAATAAAACTGCCCCCCCCCCCCCCCCCCCCCCCCCCCCCGGCTGGCTACGGCACTGGGATCACTATGGAATATCCTCCAACATCAAGCTGACACGTCTTGATATAACTGAAATACTGTTTAAAGCGTCGTTAAACTAAAATCACTCACTTACTCAGTATTTGGTGTCCAACCCGAACATTAACGAAGAGGCATAACGATATTTCGGTTTACCTGTGACTAGCATCCTTCATTCAAAGCATTTATTACTTTAACCATATGTGTCTATAACTGACATCGTTTGCTTTCAGCTCCAATTTTGGTTTTATGATCCAACAGAATGCAAGGTATGTACAAAATAATTCATGCGATGAATTATTTTAATTTTGCCCTTAACTTAAAATGACATATCGGCAATATGTGAATTGTCATTGTTCAGTGTTTGCATATTTGTAAATTCCTCTAAAATGCAAGTGTTAGGTATTCTTACGAAAGACAATAACTTTATTAACTGTGTGAAATGTGAATTAATTGAGATCATATTAAACCATATGTGATTCTTTCGATGAAATTTTCTTGAGAAAAGTATATATTGACATAGTCATAGTTGAGCAATAGTACTGTTTTTTCCGGAAATGACATGCGATGGGTTTCATCGTGGTCTGATGGCCTGGACCCTTGCTCATAATATCAATCACCGGATTGTCTTGTCCATGCATACTCGATTTTTTACAGGCCGACATCATAGTGTTGGTATACGGTGCGGTGTTAAACAGGAAACAAATCTTGTGAGCTCTGCATTTGTACACAGCAGACGTAATTCATATTCAATTCATCGTTTATAATTCAACAAAAAACAGTAAATGTGGTTTCGTGTCACTGAATTGAAGGGTCCATCACTTGATTGTATGGTCAAGACTCGATTGTTTACAGAACGCCGTCGTTTGGCCGGAGCACTCCTACGCGTCGACAGGCAACAAACAAACACTAACTTTTTTAAAGCAAATTGTACGAATGGCGGGTGCTACCAGTTGGGCAGGACATGCTTACCCTTTTCGAGAACACCTGGTGTCAACACTGATTTTCGGTGATCCATTCATACAATTTCACAGTTATTTTTTCCTTCTACGTCCAATCGAATCTGCTTCCGGGGATAATCGAGACTGATTAGTCTATTTTATGATATTTATCTCGCGTGTGTAATAAATCTCGACAACTTACACATTAAATCATAACAAACACATGATATGAGCTTACGGTTTATGATTAACATGTATGTTTTGACTTACTTTCAGAAATTCTTGGAAACCATTCTTGAAGACAGGGATCTCGAAATGGGTTTAACTACATCAAAGGTTAGCTGACACACTTGACTTTTTAGAATGACTCCAATAACAAAATAAATATAACATTAATATTTTTTTGAATGTTATCAATAAGTATATGTACCACACCTTCCTTATATGTTCACATAGAAGACTGAAAGCGCAGTCTAGTCACGAGCGCGAACATTCGGCAGATCAGAAGCTGTAGAACTTGCCGATCACCAAAATTAATCTGTTTGTGAATGCAATTGACATTCAACCCTAAATCTAGGAGTCTCAGAGCCAAGATACATTAAGAAAAGTAATAGGGTTTGGTTCGGTGATGCAGGCAGTAGGGGTCTGGTCGGTGATGTAGGCAGTAGGGGTCTGGTCGGTGATGCAGACAGTAGGGGTCTGGTCGGTGATGAAGGCAGTAGGGGTCTGGTCGGTGATGTAGGCAGTAGGGGTCTGGTCGGTGATGCAGACAGTAGGGGTCTGGTCGGTGATGCATGCAGCAGGGGTCTGGTCGGTGATGCATGCAGCAGGGGTTGGGTCAGTGATGCAGGCAGTAGGAGTTGGGTCGGTGATGCAAGCAGTAGGGGTCTGGTCGGTAATGCAGGCAGCAGGGGTTGGGTCAGTGATGAAGGCAGTAGGGGTCTGGTCGGTGATGCAGGCAGCAGGGGTTGGGTCAGTGATGCAGGCAGTAGGAGTGGGGTCGGTGATGCAGGCAGTAGGGGTCTGGTCGGTGATGAAGGCAGTAGGGGTCTGGTCGGTGATGCAGGCAGCAGGGGTTTGGTCAGCGATGAAGAAAGTAGGAGTGGGGTCGGTGATGCAGGCAGTAGGGGCTGGTCAATGATGCAGGCAGTAGGGGTCTGGTCGATGATGAAGGCAATAGGGGTCTGGTCGGTGATGCAGGCAGTAGGGGTCTGGTCAGTGATGCATGCACTAGGGGTCTGGTTGGTGATGCAGGCAGTAGGGGTCTGGTCGGTGATGAAGGCAGGAGGGGTCTGGTCGGTAATGCAGGCAGTAGGGGTCTGGTCGGTGATGCAGGCAGTAGGGGTCTGGTTGGTGATGCAGGCAGTAGGGGCTGGTCAATAATGCAGGCAGTAGGGGTCTGGACGGTGATGAAGGCAGTAGGGGTCTGGTCGGTGATGAAGGCAGTAGGGGTCTGGTCGGTGATGCAGGCAGCAGGGGTCTGGTCGGTGATGCAGGCAGCAGGGGTCTGGTCGGTGATGCAGGCAGTAGGGGTCTGGTCGGTGATGCAGGCAGTAGGGGTCTGGTCAGTGATGCAGGCAGTAGGGGTCTTGTCGGTGATGCAGGCAGTAGGGGTCTTGTCGGTGATGCAGGCAGTAGGGGCCGGTCGGTGATGCAGGCAGTAGGGGTCTGGTCGGTAATGCAGGCAGTAGGGGTCTGGTCGGTGATGCATGCACTAGGGGTCTGGTTGGTGATGCATGCACTAGGGGTCTGGTCGGTGATGCAGGCACTAGGGGTCTGGTCGGTGATGAAGGCAGGAGGGGTCTGGTCGGTGATGAAGGCAGGAGGGGTCTGGTCGGTAATGCAGGCAGTAGGGGTCTGGTCGGTGATGCAGGCAGTAGGGGTCTGGTCGGTAATGCAGGCAGTAGGGGTCTGGTCGGTGATGCAGGCAGTAGGGGTCTGGTCGGTAATGTAGGCAGTAGGGGTCTGGTCGGTGATGAAGGCAGTAGGGGTCTGGTCGGTGATGAAGGCAGCAGGGGTCTGGTCGGTGATGCAGGCAGCAGGGGTCTGGTCGGTGATGAAGGCAGCAGGGGTCTGGTCGGTGATGCAGGCAGTAGGGGTCTGGTCAGTGATGCAGGCAGTAGGGGTCTGGTCGGTGATGCAGGCAGTAGGGGTCTGGTCGGTGATGCAGGCAGTAGGGGTCTTGTCGGTGATGCAGGCAGTAGGGGTCTGGTCGGTGATGCAGGCAGTAGGGGTCTTGTCGGTGATGCAGGCAGTAGGGGTCTTGTCGGTGATGCAGGCAGTAGGGGTCTGGTCGGTGATGCAGGCAGTAGGGGTCTGGTCAGTGATGCAGGCAGCAGGGGTCTGGTCGGTGATGCAGGCTGTAGGGGTCTGGTTGGTGATGCAGGCAGTAGGGGCTGGTCAATAATGCAGGCAGTAGGGGTCTGGTCGGTGATGAAGGCAGTAGGGGTCTGGTCGGTGATGAAGGCAGTAGGAGTCTGGTCAGTGATGAAGGCAGTAGGGGTTGGGGCGGTGATGAAGGCAGTAGGGGTCTGGTCGGTGATGCAGGCAGCAGGTGTTGGGTCGGTGATGCAGGCAGTAGGGGTCTGGTCTGTGATGAAGGCAGTAGGGGTCTGGTCGGTTATGAAGGCAGTAGGGGTCTGGTCGGTGATGCAGGTAGTAGGGGTGCGGTCGGTGATGAAGGCAGTGAGGTTGGGCTGGCGACGCTGATAGTAGGTTTTGGGCATGTCAACGGCAAAGCTGGCTGCGTGATTTTACTTCTGGCTAAGGCCTGGTAAACCGAAACGCAGTTTGAATCGTGGATTATCTGCATTCATTATTTGTTTGTTTGTTGTTTAACGCCGTAATCAGCAATATGCCAGCTATATGACGGCGGTCTGTAAATAAACGAGTCTGGACCAGACAACCCAGTGATTGACATCATGAGCATCGATCCATACAGTTAGGATACGACGACAAGCATCAACCAAGTCAGTGAGCCTGACCACCCGATCCCGTTAGTCGCCCCTTACGACAAGCATCGGTTCCTGAAGACCTATTCTACCCCGGATCTACACGGGTTGCATTCATTACATCCAGCACATGTGCGTAAAATTTCACTCTCAATTGTATTCGTAACCTCGAAGTATAATATGTCAACTTGTCTTCACAGGCATCACTGCTGATTCAACACCACTGTGGTGACTATACTTCCGCCTACAACGAAGGTCGGCTCAAGGGCAAACATGGCGCCAGGCACGTCCGCACCGCTATCTGCCTTTGTCAGTTTCTTGAGGACATGTACTCTGAGAGTAAATAACCTCTTACACTGGGAATGAAGTAAATAACCTCTTACTCTCAAGATGAAGTAAATAACCTCTTACTCTCAAGATGAAGTAAATCACTACCTTTTTATTTATGGTCCAATTTAACATAGATGTGTAAGATAGCAACACAGACAATGCTTCGTGTCAATAACATATATATATATATATTTGTTCGTTTCTTTGCCATGTTCCCCTACCTGTGAAGATCCGGGGTAGAAGAGGTCTTCAGCAACCCATGCTTGCCGTAAAAAAGCGACTATGCTTGTAAGAGGCGACTAACGGGATCGGGTGGTCATGCTCACTGACTTGGTTGATGCATGTCATCGTATCCCAATTGCGTGGATCAGTGCTCATGTTATCAATCACTTAATTGTCTGGTCCAGACTCGATTATTTACAGACCGCCGTCATATAGCTGGAATATTGCTGAGTGCGGCTTTAAACAAAGGAGACGAGAGGGCCAGGTACCAGTTTGCAGGCAAGTTTTCACTTATTGTGAGTGGTCTAGTGGTAGAGCGTCCGCCCGGAGAGCGGAAGGTCCGGGGTTCGATCCCAGACCGCGTCATACCAAAAGACGTTAAAAGATGGTACTTGTTGTTACCCTGTCTGGCGCTCGGCATTAAGGGGATAGGGGACTGGTCGGCTCGGAGTCAGTATACTGTGTCTGAGTGGGGTATTCATGTTAAACTGTGGATGGTATCTCAGTGAGCTAGCACTATAAATCGGCATCAGTCCGGACTAGTACAAACAGCCACACACACACACACACACACACACACACACACACACGTACATGCACGTCGCTATATAAGTGCAATAATCTTGGACGCGACGTTAAACCCCATTTCACCTCACCTTATTGTGAGTGAGAAAGTTTGTTTTAAAACAGCTTTGAACAATATTCCCGTTATATGCCTGCCGTGATAAGACGTTTACCAACTTTGCTACAACCTTTAAGAGCACTGGTATAATGCAGTCAAACCATGAAATATAAACACAGGGAATCTGGGTTCTAACCCTCAATCATTGATGTCCGTTGAGCCTAAGGGACGTAACTCTGCACAGCGAATTATTGCTCCTCAGTTTACTGGGCTTTCATCAATCTAGGTTATTTTGGTTCCCAAAGCATTTAGCTTCCATCGAGCTCAATGCCGAGCATGTGCGTGCATGCACTGTTACGTGTCATGCAGAATATCTACTGGTCGAAGACCCCAAATTCGCCGAGCAGATTTGCGTTCCTAGCCCAGATTTGCTCAGACTCTATTTGTCTCGTTATTGGATGTCACTGATTTTTTTCACCTCCGGACATATCAATATATATTATCATGTACAAATATAGTCTCCCATAAATCGCTTGATCTTAAATGTTTATACATGATAAAAAAATTATTTACTGAATGTAATATTTAAGAGTGAGACTTTAATAAACACTTCTGTCTGTCTGTCTGTCTGTCTGACTGACTGTCCCTCTGCAGAGAGTCTCCACTAAACCGGAGGTCAGACATCCCGAACCCTGCCTTCCAGACACTCCCTGAAAATGGAACATATTGCTCATGTGTCCGGTTATCGGACTCGTACGGTTATACTTGGGACTAGCAAGGTTAGATATACACTACACTTAGTCAATTATCGGACAAACAAACTATGTTACACAGTGTGTTTACGCAATATCCTATGAATAATATGGCGGGAGACACTAGAAATGGGCTTCACACATCATTTATTTATCAATCATGTGTGGAATCAAACCTGGGTCTTCGGCGTGATGAACTAGCGCTTTAACCACTGGGCCAGTCGCTACCCCACCACCCTGTCCCCCGTGAATGAACAGGTGCAGTAATGCACTTGCTTAAAGAAAAACCAGGGGTGTACAGGATCGACCAATTACATTCCTGTCTCTTGTTGTGCAAAGCACCTGTGAGATTCATGATGGTTTCCGACCGCCTCCGTGGTATGTAGTGGATAGAGCGTCTGCCCAGAGAGCGGAAGGTCGGGTTTGCGATCCCCGGCCGCATCAAACCAACAAAAGATGGTTCTTATTGTTACGCTGCCCGGCTCTCGTCATTAAGGAGCTAAAACAAGGACTGGTCGGATTTGGAGTCAGTATACTGTCTCTGAGTGGGGTATTCATATTAAACTGCGGCATGGTATTCCAGACGACCAACTGACACTATAACACCGGCATTAGTCTGGATTAGTACAAGCAGACACAAGTACACACACACACACACACACACACACACACACACACGTCGCATTATAATCTCAATAAAGATTAACACGGCGTTACACGTCATTTCACCTCACCTGGGGATTGTTTGCCTCCAAGACTTATAACGCCATAGTGTAGTCCTTCAGACACAATGGTACAGCAACTCATATTTACTGGATAATAATTATAATATTCTATCAACACAAGCAGGTTGTGTAGCTTTAACACGACCTGCATCAATATGTATTTGGGCCTGTAGGGTTCCGGGTTAGAATAGGTCACCAGTAACCTGTGTTTGACGTAGGAGGCGACTTCATGGGTCGGGCGGTCACGTCTGTGACTTGGTTGAATGCGTGTCATCGTACACCGACGGTGTGTGATGTTACTCATACTATCAACCACTGGTTTCTCAGTGTAATCTCCACGTGATTCAAGATAACTTTGACCCAGAGTATGAACACGGCGCAAAAGAAATTTTGTAGCATATCTACCTTTTGATGCAAGTACTTATACTTTCATAATGCGCACGTGTAGCTCAGAAGATAAAACAAATTGGAATTTGCATGTGGTACCTTCAGAATCAGGAATGAGAACATGGCACATTTCAGTTTTAATACTTATGTAATATGAAAGTAGAAAATAAATATATTATGAAAACAAAACCAGTTATATGTTTTCACAAAAGTGACTTCCTGAAAGATGTTACATTATTTTCAAGGACCATGGGGTACTAAGTTGACACATAGTGGTATGCATAATACTGTTGACATTGATATATCTACAGAGGTAAAGTTATTAATACAGTGACATAATTATTTAAAGTAATAGCTACAATGTTTTATCATCCAAAACTGGCTCCCACAGGAGATATGCTTGGGTGAGATCAAGCGATATCTACATTGTAGATATCACAGCAGGGAAATTGCATCACAATGCTTTGTAGACCATTGTGACGTCATTGGTTACCATGACGTCACAGCCAAATGATATCACTAATCGCACTGCCACTCTGCTGTTAGCAGTACTTTTAACACTTAAAACACTGCTTATTACTGTCTACAAACTGAAAAAGTTGGAAGAATGATGTTGGATGATAAATAAAATCTCCCCCTCGTGGCTTTGGATCTCAAATACTATATCAACACTCGTTGATAAAAGTAGAAAAACTCCTCGGCAAGCTTCCGAGTCTTTCCACTATTAACTCGTGTTGATATATTTGATATCAAAAGACACTCGGATATTGTTAATATTGTTGCGCAAGCACTGTAGGGCAGGTAAACCAGGTTAGGAAAGGACGTGGCTCCCTGTATTAATTTACATTTAGGAATGTTTAAAAACATAATTTCATAATTATTTATGTATTTGTAAGTACGAACATCATTATACACATGTGAGACGAAGGTAAAATTATTTTAAAAGTTTGGTTACATCTTTCCAACGATTACTCCCCATGGCCCATGCCCCCATGTAATTTTCTCAAACCCATGACAAATAAGGCACGGCGCTTGCTGCTGTGCAATGAAACTAGTTGATCCAATACTATCAGAGATGAGGCTGGTAAGGGAGTTGCTGATTCCATGGCAACGCTCGGACCCCTTGCTCGTGTGTTCAGTACCTGGTTTGCCTGGACCAGATTCAATTATTTACAGGCTGCCTGGAAATAGATGCAATTATTCCATTCTCATTCAAATCAAATATTGTAGTAGTACTCGCTACCGCGGTTAGAACGACCTTTCATCCTACAAATCTGAGCGGCGCTAACGAGATCGCGAAAATTAAAGTCAGAAAGTCAGAATGCAACCTCGAAAAGGTTAACACGGGGCTGTACGGCTGTTTCCGTTAAAATCATCGTCGATCTCTCGCTTTAATGGGATAAACATTTGAAACGGAAGTCCTTGGCACATTATACAAACCAAGCCATATACTGTGGTTAACAAAGTCAGAAACAAGGGGGTATCACCAACAAACAGATATATTTACACATAAAACTAGTGACACAATATTATTGTGCATTTCCCAAAATGTTCTAATGATTTGTTAAACAGTCCCAAAATAATCACAAAGGTTTAAGGGTGGCACGACAACACAAAATGTTGCTTCAAGCATACATCTTGTTGGATGTGAACACTCTCTTGATCATGTTGATCACACGGGACAGGAAGGCTCTCAAGAAAGACTGGGGATTCACACGCGTCATCTTCACAAAGAAGTATCTCAATGAAATCAGTGTCATCCATGATGACCTGACCAGTGATGTTCACTGACACAAATGCGGGGGGGGGGGGGGGGGGGGGGGGGGGGCAGAGGGTGGGGACGGGTCACACAACGCTGAGAGTAAGGAAGATAAAACAAGAGAAATGTTAAACACTAGTTTATGTTGGCATTTGAATTTTTGGGAAGCTATTACACCCAATTGTACCTTAATTGAACCTAACTGCTCGACTGCATAGCGATCAAAAGCGATGTTCAAAATAGCGCAAATAAAATTATTCAAACCCAAGAGACATGCTGAAGATAATGAAACAACAATGGCGTCTTTGGACTTCGGAAGTCACTGGTTAAATTTAAGGTCGTCAAGCAAGCTCCTTCCCGGCGAACGGGCTATAGTTGTGAGGAGCTTGGGTCGTCAAGCAAGCTCCTTCCCAGCGAACGGGCTATAGTTGTGAGGAGCTTGGTTCGTCAAGCAAGCTCCTCGCGATAGACCGTTCGCGGAGCTCTCTATATAGACCGAGAGTGTAACGGAGGTGTCACGCGCTGGGAAGGAGCTTGACTGACAGCGACGAAAGGGAGACCACTCTCACTTAATGTGTATGTGGAATGCCGCTAGGTAATGTTTTATCAGGTACTTCACATAATCCAACAAGAAAACACCGGGGCACCGAATCAATGTTTTATGTAGAAAAGATATTTAATATATGTGCTCCAAATACAGAAGTACTGTTGAAAAACGCCGAACGAAAAACTGTTGCAATATGCGTGAGCCCATATGTTGTGTGAGGAACAACCGTGAAGAAGTGGTAATCTGTTTGTGGTATGTGCATGATTATCATTGGCGATAAATTATTACATCGCATCTTAGTGGCCAAAACGGTCGCATGGATAGAATAT